CGTCGCGGCGCAACTTTTCATGTCATCTTCAATCATCACCTAGTATCAATACTAGTCTGAGAAACCATGACTATCTCACTCAGATAGTCAAAATAAGAATTATCGGGATTATACAGAATTCTTCCGATCATAGCGCAATCTGTTCCGTAAGACAATTTCTATTCCGAATTATTTAAATCAAATTTTTCTGATGAAAAAGACCTGCTTTCCAAAAAGTATGCTCACACAAGAATTTTTTGGAGAGTAAAACTGTTGGGTTTTTCAACATAAAAAGAATAACCGTGAAATTTTCACACTAGAAAACGCTATCGATTTCTTTATAATTTGCTCCATGAACATAAATCTTATTAACAATTTGCTTACAAAAGTAGGTAGACTAAATTGTTACTTAGCCAACTGTTACTTCGACTACAGGGATGGAATATTTTTTGGTTACTAAAGTTTGTTTCTTTCGCCTTCTCCAATAAATGTATCACATTTTCCAAGTTTTTAGGTGGTTTCCACTGTCAACAGAAAGTTGAGTATTCAAGCAACACAGTTTACTATTTTCTGGAGTTCTAAATTGTTCATATGCCCTACATTTTCGCGGATCAAACATATAACGGATAACTGATGGTTGGATGGAGATAATCAGAGGGAAATCTTGGACCTAGGAAATCATTATCAAGGTTACCTCAAAGGGAACTGATGTTTTTCCTGTTATAGCCAATAGGTACTTCAAATAAGTCAAAATCTTCAGTTGAGAATCAGTGATCTCGGTGGGAAGACACTTTAAAAGGGAAAATTGAAAGTGATTAAATTTGTCGAATTATTCCAGCATTGGCCACGGATTCCAAACGTACTCCTAAGATATTGCTAAGTCATCTAAACAGCATTTTTTTTCAGTGCTATCTAGTTATCAGTGATAGTCGGAATGACATAAGTGTATGATAGCGGCTATCTTTCAACTAAGAAATTGTTCAAAGTGAGCTTTCTCTGAACTAGGGTTTTGAAAGATACACGTTTCAATGTCATTCATCTCAGAGAAGCTCTGGTGTACTGACAGGAATGTCTGGCGTGACACTGAAATATTTACTAACTAAAAGACTTGCTGAGGGGACAATTCACTCCGGACAACCGTACTCTGAGCAACAAATATTCACTACAATCAATAAATTCCCTACAACTCATAAACCCTAATGGAGCAGTTTTGTGTCCGATTAAGCCTACTAGCTTTAGAAGTATAAAGTATTTTACATTAGAATGACGGTTTGCTGATCAACACAACACTGAAATGTTTCTGAATTTTAAAAATTATTAGTCAGCGTCTTGTTCAGGTAAAACTGTGCTTACCGTAGTTGATATTTTAGGTAACTGTTTTAAAACGAACTGAGAATACTAATTACAAAATAGTTTTGAAGAGAGTGACTTTCAAACTATGCTTTTCAGAATTATGCTTATTACAAATACCGAATTTGTTGCAAAAATATGTTTTGTTATCAGTAATATTATTTAAGCTTGCTATCCACCATGAAATACATGTGATAAGAATGGTTCTGAATTTGTCCTGAAGATATGGAAAATTCTATTAACCTTGTCATAAAGAATGGGAGAGGATTAAAACCATAAAAACCATGTCTCAAAGTTGTGGACAATAACTTATGTTGGAAATATTATCCAGTAAATGATACTGTTTCACTGTGTGATGTTTCTATTAAACAGATTAAAATAGAATTACAATCTACCACAATGCTCAAGTTTTACTTCTATGTTGATAAGAATATGAACGTTAGTAAATAGCAAACACGATGGGTTTAAGTGAAAAAAAATATTGAAAACGTTAATTTCTCACTGGTTTCTGAGCACTGTATCAGTTTAAGTAAAAGCAATAAACTTTCTCATGTGCTTGCTTCACAAATGAATATCATCATTAGTCTAATCGGAAGGCAGTGCCCGATTTTTTTCATTTCTGTGTTTCAAAAACTTGTCAGTAAGGGACCTCTGAAATCAATGAAATCTTGAAACTACTTGATACCTTCTTAATGCCAATTTTCTAGTTTCTGTTAAACGTAGAATAAATATCAATTTTAGAATGCTAAAATGTATTTAACTCAGGCTAAATCCTCTACCGTTATTGTAAGCGGAATATTATGTTTTATTAGAAAGTCATGTGCAAAGCTATTCATATTATTGATAGGTGTCATCTTTGTTTGTCGTATAATGGCAAACACTTAAAAACTACTCATTTTTAAGTAGTCAGTTAACCATGGATAATCTAGCCCTTAGAAATGAAGTATTCTGCCTTGGATCCAGTACTGTAAGTTGGAGAACATCACTAAGGTTACAAGTTAGCAAGATACCCAATGGTTCAGAAAGTTGGCGCGCCAGGGAAATCATTTCCAACAAACTACAGACTACTACCTAAGCTCACTCGATATTCTAGATCAGATGGCCAGAAAGAATAAACATCAAGGAACTCTGGAAACGAACCAACCAAGAACCTATCACTCAACAAATATGCGGAAGAAAGTGGAGACGGATTGTGTTGGGCATACACTGAGAAGGCCGACTGTGGACATCACGCGTCAGGCACTCGAGTAGAACCCAAAGGGGAAACGACGAGTTGGGCGTCGCAGCTGAGGGTGAAATGGAGGAGATGGTGTGGGGAAGAAATGAAAGGTTGTGGGCAGTCGTGGTGCCAGGTTGAACAGACTGCGGAGAAGAGAGTGTAATGGAGACCTGCTACTGAAGCCCAATGTTCCACTAAGAACCCGAGAGAAAAATAACTAATAATGATAAATAAGATACCCAATGATTGAATTAAACATGAAAATTGGCTATCAAATGAAGCTGATAGCTCAGTTTAAAGGATATGAGGAAAGCCACTTTTCTGAGAAAGACAAAGATCATATCTTAATATGGACAATCGATGGGTAGGATAAGCCTTGTTTCAGGTGTGGGACAATAAAATCTTTTGTGTTCAGTCCGGGTAACCCCTAAACTTCTCTTATCTCCTTTGACCTAGACATTTGGCTCTTTCCTTAAAATAAGGGCAAACATTGGGCACTGTGGTAGTTGTTAGGTATATGACACAGTAAAACAGTATTATCTACTGGGTTACGCGTTCCTCATTATCATATCAAGATAACTCCAAAGGTTTGAGACTTGTTTTATATAGTAGGATTCTCCATATATTTGGGACAGGTGCTGAGTCATTTCTACTACATGTGTTTGGTGTTGTTTCAATGGCGAGGTCAACTGCATGGAACAAAGTAGTCAACCAGTATCAATAAAGCTGTCCGAGGACAAAAACCTGGGTAGGTCAAACATAGTAGATCCTAGTAAGATAAGGAATCTAGAAAAAGCTTGGTTATAACTATGCCCGCAGTTACATTCAGCTATACAATGAGATGGGGTAGAGGGAGTGGCTGATAACCGAATCTTTGCCCATTCAATCAACACTAAATACATGCACTAGAAATGGAAAAACCCACTGTCTAAATCATACAGAAGGTAAGATAATACAACTATTTAAAGAATGTTTCAAAGTTGCACAGTTATCTTGATATGTCTATGGACAAAAACTGTCTGAAACGCGTAACAGTAAATAGTACTGGAAAATCTGATAAACTAAATAATGTAGACACTTTCCCAGTACTTTTCAGCAGAAAATTGACTACCATCCTGGCATAGATCAGAATATTTAGACAAAAGTTTCAAAGTGAAGAAAACTTCAACTACCAATATCAGAATGATAATTAAGTAAGCTTACGAAAATATTTTCATCCACCACTACCGATCTATACGTCACAGTATGTGATGTAAGATCTCTTGTTGAAATAATTGACTAACCAACCATATTCGTTGATGGTAATCAATAAGATATCCGACTTTCAGATGTCTTCTGGCCTACCTCAAACAACCCAGCTTTCTCAAAATGTTATTTATTTTTTCTGTATGCGTAGTCAGGAAATCATATAGCCTGGCTTTATTGTAAGAAGTTTCAGTGTAGTCACGTAAAGATATGACAACAATCTATCGAGTAAATGATCGCTCCTGCTGTTTCGTACAACATAGCTATCTATTCAGTTGTGCTCTTAAAAATGTTCAGTATACATGTATATATTTATATTTACATATGAAATGTCCCAGTTATTCATAGCAACCCAAATGTATAATCCAACCTGTTATTTATTTAGACAGTGATAAAAAACTAGAATAGCCTAATGTCATGTGAAGCTCAAATGAAACAATCATACTGTCGTGGTCTCCTTTATGTTTATTAGATGGCATTTTGTCTCATTTATTTCAGTTTATATGTGCAAGCTTCTGAAATATTTGTATGAAAAACAGAATAGCCTTAATAGGATGGTGAAACTTTTTCTGATGAGGGTCTTTTATGATGTATACAAAGTGCATAATAATATCAGTTTCATTTGTAATCCATCTTCAAAGAGACAGTTTAACTCACGTTTTGGGATTAAATGTAATCATATTATTACTTCCTGGATTCTAAAAATAATATTTTTTTGTATGTTTATCCCACATATCTATGGTTACTTTTTTTACATGATACTTTCTCACCTCCCTTCTATCCAGTTAACACTGAAATTAGATTTCTGAGTTTATCTATTGATAACAATCGTGTTCCACCCATTACTTGTTTTACTGTTCCCTTCAACACCGAAAATCACAGTGAATTCTTGAAGTAAGCATATATGTATTACGCTGAAAACAGCGGATTAGACAGCTGTGTGTATATATCCAATCTAAAAAGCAGAATTCAAGTTTTCTGTACAAATGTCTACTATGAATTGATACAATGCTATCTACAATTAATGGAGTTCACTTCAAACACACTAGTTGACATCACTGTATCACTCTTTTAGAAAAGTATTTTACTGTCAACTTGGATATCATTTTCAATAAAAAAAATATTGAGGGGTAAGGATGATTATACATCAGTTTAGAAAGTGGATAGAAGAAAGATAAAACAAGTTACTTTACAAAATATTTCATACCTTCGTACCAATTTCTCCAGACAGCGTATTCTTTACACTTCAACGCTTGTTTTCGGAGTACTGACATTAATCCAGCCGGGAAAAAATCTAAAATGTAAAGTCAAAAAATAGATACAGTATGAGTATTAAAGTTGATGAAAAATCAAGTAAATTATTCCAAAGGTTTATATCAACGTATAATGACGCTTTACATCTAGTCAAAATGACATGACACACCGGGTTGAAACTATCATTTTGAACAAGACTCTTAATAATTATGATACAGCCGGTATCATAGTTTCATAATCTGACATAATCTAAATAGATCAAAAATATTTTGGCAAGATGGACAAGGTACTTTTTTGAAAGAATTAAACACTGCTAGATTTTAAGCGGCTGTTTAGCTTTATATTGTCAGCAGAAAGATTGAAATGAAACTTAAATCTTATTTAAAGGTTAGTATTTACCACGGAATGACATCATTTGAAGAAACATTGGGCACCGGACAGTTGTTTTGTCCTAATAGGAGACTCCTCAGCAGTGTGGACCCAAGATCATGTTGGGAATTGAGCCTAAGACCTTCGGACTCTACGGCCAGCAAGTTAGCATTGAGCCACTGGGTAGGAGCCCATTTGTCCATACTTCCTACTCCTGTCATTTCACAATACAGCGCAACCTCCATGTAGTGCCACTGTTGAACAACTGCCCTCATGTCGTCATGAGGAGTCCTATACTTGGACGAAACAGCTATTCAGTACTCTTAAGTTTCCAATATTCCTCCAACTGATGAATACGAACCTGAAATCAATAAATAAACTCTCACAAATCTTCAAATTGTATCGAGGAATTATTGAATTATGAATATTGTGAAGATCTGACTGATTTTTACTAGAGATTTATGTTAGTTCAAGAACTGTTCAGCAGTTAGAAGTAAAGCATAACTATTTCTTGCTAATTTACAACACCTCAAAAGTGGTCATCCGATACCTGGTAAGAAGTCAAGTTCCAAACAATCTGATCTCGTATCAAACATGTTGTCATTTAGTTGATAAGTTGTGATTCAATGGTACGTGTTTTCTTACCTCAGTCAATTTCCACTATAACACGGACATCACTTAGTGTCACTGTAGGCATCCATCCTTGCGTTTCTCTTATCAAAATTTCAGGTATTTATTTCTGGACAGCTTCAAAATGAGAACGAAACAGTCATCTAGTGCAGAAAGGTATTCAGTAGTCTTTGGTCCATATTGATTACCCATAGAAACTATTTTATGGAGGCAAACTTAACCATTTAGCAAACTTTTTTTAGAAGCATAACCTCTCATACTTAGCTGACTGAAAATAAAGGGGATAAATTAGCTACTTTGTAAAGAAGCACTAAACCCCTTTTTGTGTTTTACTTCTAAATTGCACTTCAGTCGATTTTCATTAAATTTAACCTAAAAATTCAGAAAATTTTTAGGCGTATTTCAGTTTGATAGATTTTCTCCTTGCTTAAATACCAGGGATATAATATTTTCTTATTGACTCCTATACATTTTTGTTTTGATTAAAGTATGAATTCCTAATATGATTGAATAGTTAAGTCCAACTTATACTTTAATGACCAATACTTCACTTTTACTACAACTAACCTCAAATAGTTCATTTAATCTAATGATGGACTATTCAACTAGATTTCTATGAAAGAAAATGAAGTTAGGCTGAGTTAGACACTTGTAAAAATCTCTGAAGATTTTCAACTTTCATTTAAAAACGAAAAAAAATTTGGAAGTTAAAAACTGAATGGAAAATAGGGTTTTCTTCGAGCTGTCTATGAGGAAGAAAAGGTAAAATAAACGAAATAACAGCTGGTAGCTAAATATTTTCTTCAACTAAGAAAATCATCTTTCCGGAAAAATGATTCCTTTATTATGATTATTATTATTATTGTTTATCCCTTGGGTTCCTAGTAGAACATAATGCTTCAGTAGCACATAGTCATTTCACTCTCTTCTCTACAGTCTTCTCAACCTGGCTCCACAACTGCTTAGAAGCTTTCATTTCTTCTTCATACTATCTCCTCCATGTCACCGTCACATTCTCAACTCATCATTTCCCCTTTGAGTTCCACTCGACGACCTCAACTGGCCTAGGGCGTGATGTACTCAGTCTGTCTTCTCAGCTATGCCCAACCCAATCCATCTCCACTTTCTTCTGTATATTTGTTGGGCAATGTGTTCTTGGTTGGTTCGTTTCCAGAGTTCCTTGATGTTTATTCTTTCTGGCCATCTGATCTTCAGTATCGAGCTTAAGCAGCCAGAAGTAAAAATATTTTCATTGCCACTATGTGCCAGAAACAAAAAACGCGTAGAAAGTGACTGTGTAGCAATAAGTTACTTGGTTGCAGTATTAAATAGGATGAATATATCAAAACGATTTTGCCTATATCATTCGATCCTAAGTGATAAGGTAAACAAGTGGACAGATGGTAACTATCCGAGGTTTCGGTTGTATTGTATTGGTGCTCATGTAGATGAAAGCAAAGAGAGTGATCACTTTGTCCAATGTAGTGTTGACTACAGTTATTCCAGTTGATTCTGTAAATGATATTCGGTTTGTCTTTTTGGTTGTCGCATTATTTCATCCTATTCTATATGTAGGTCATTAAGCCTTAGTTTTAACTCGTAGGAGTTCACTAGTCTGGAATATGAACGGTTCCTAATAGGTCATAATATCGATGCTAAGTGCTTTGGAGATTGCAGATTTCATTATATGGTCTTGTTTGGATATGTTCGTCAATTTTGTTAAAATAATCCAATTCGCTCATAACTACTGTTGCATTACCTTTATGAGACTTAACAATTACTATATTGTTGTCATTCCATGGATTATTCAAAGCTGAATTTCCCTATAGAACGAATTAAGCAAAATAACCTATTCTATCAAATCCCATGGAATGACTGTGAGGTCAAGTACTTTGGTCAAACTAGCCTGTCGGGGTCAGTTAGAATTGCCAAACATAGGAATTTGGCTAAATGTAGAATAACAGACCCGAATAAGATCAATATTCTGGAAGAAACTCGGCTCTTGCACTGCATATATTATCACACAACCACACAATACGATGGGACGAAGTCACTGTACTTAAGTCCATTATAAATAGGTGGAGAGAGAGAGAGATTGATTACTGATTCTCTGTTCATCGAGTCAACACTCACCCAACATATGTAATGGAAATGACGCAACACCTATACCAGAGATATGGAAGACTACTAGCAATAGAAACAAAGAATAAGAGGCTACAGGACGAGGGAAATCAGATGTCGAAAGTAGTATGACAACACACACTGAGATATGATTATGAGCAATGATAATTTATACTAGGTACATCATCAAGTGAATAATACTTTATCACTGTATGTTATCAATCAAATAAACAAATCTAATATGGAATTCAATTCTACTACAGTGTGCAAGTTTTACACCTATATTAATGTAACACAATGATGAATAATGATGATATGGAAATGCGTTCAGCGCCAAGATTTCTCATTAGTTTTGGTCCAACTCAAGATTTAATATGTTTTAGAATTAAATATCACATAAGTGTGCCCTATTTCACTGGTGGAAATTTTATTTCCTCTTTACCAAACAGCCAATTTCGCTAGTAGCAGAATATATCCTCGCAGTAAATTGATTCAGATACACATCATGATACTAAAACTCAAATGGATTTTTATAAGATACTTGCTATCTTATATCGTGGACAAATTCAACTGGTTACTTGTTTCATTTTTTATTTACCGCTGATAGATAGATGGTTCAATGTTTTCAACTGACAAGATACAAGTTAATGAGGTGAATGGATACAAAATTGTCCAACTTGAAATATCCATGCAAGTATTCAGATTTTTCAATATTATAACTCTGTGCCACAAATTATGCTGTGTTAAATACTCAGATTTATATACTTTGTGTGTTAGTTAAAGTAGACTGAGCGAACTGTTCAAACAGTAAATTACATAATCTTTATGAAGAAACAGCATCTCTAACATGAACTCTACAACTCAAAACCTCGCTCCCACGATTCATATCTAAATTTGTTAGAAGTTATAAAGAATAAAAATAATGTGAAGATTTAGCTGAGTAATTTCAACTTTTCTACACTATTTGCGTGTTATTAAATAACGTCAGAATGGATGTCGTCGTTCCTTGAAGATGTATAGATTGAAGTTGAATTTATACGTATGGATTTTCTGCCTACGAACCCACGTATAGCTAAGTTGAGTAATTTTATTTCGCCAAAAACCAACATATGACTTTGAGATCAAGTAAACAGGATAAAGAAACAGTTTGAAGTTTTTCAGCTTTCAACGTACATACAATGGCACGAAGTCATACAGTGCTATGAACAATATGTTCAGCAAACTTCTGTTGAAATGTTATTCGGCAAAAAATACTTTAACGCTATTTGACATATATTAAATAAGTAAACCTAATACATAATTACACTTTCGTATTGTGTCTAGCTTATATTATAACAAACGATTGTATAAGAACAGATAAAACTTGGTAATGGAAACTTGGTTTCGTTAAATTTTACATTTATACAAAGATTTGATTTATAGAAATCAGAACAACCACAGATACTTGTGTAACCTCGCCTGGTTAACTAGTTCAATAGTTACTAGCCAATCCTAAGCCCAGCTAAAGAGGGAAGATTGGGCATACGGCTAGCAACCTACTCCGTAAAACAAATCTAACCGCTAAACAAACTTCAAAGCACAAACAAAATATAAAAAATAATAACAAAATTATTCCTCGCTGGAATCGGAGAGGCGAAATGACGCCAGTTGGTGAAAGCCTTCGGGAAGCCAATTGGCCGATGTGTCTTCTCTCTCTCTATGAAAGCGAAAGTAAACGTGGAGACAGGGAATGTCGCACCATGTTTGAACCCAGCAAGGCAGCCCAGATTGCAAACGAGATGAAGAGGTATCACACTGAAGTGCTTGAAATTTGCGAAAGCAGATGGAATGGGAGTGGACTCTCCAAACTATCAACTGGAGAATCAATAATCTACTCCGGTATTGTCACCCAGGCGACAACCACGAGCACACTGAGTTATG